GACATGTAAACTGACAATAATCAGACGTGAATCACCACTCGTAGTGGTGGCATTTAACCGTGCGCGTAGCGCAGGAGGACTGGAAGGTTGGGCTGCCACCGGGGGACCCGGACCTCTGTTCCAACCAGTAGGGCGCCCTGCACCTACTGGTCCCGACCGTTTTTGGACGTTCGGCCGGTACAACACCCTCATGACGGGAATTAATTACTTGCACCGATATCGGCGCTGGCGCACGGCACTCAGCCGCGCAATGTCCTGGCTTGCGACAGCAAAAGCAATCCATTTGACGCCCGGTGCGAGCGTCACCTTTATGAAAGACACGTCGCCGGTCACTGACGACTTAATCACGTCGATTTCCATAGGTTATGGACCAGAAGGCCGGGGAACGCTGACGACCGAGGGTTTGGAATATGCCTTTGTGACCCTCAAGTCCTCACGGAGTGCGATGGCAAATGCCTCCTCCAATGTGGCAGGCTCGGCGCGCTCCAGCGATAAGCGGGTCTGCCCCTCACGCATACCATCCACAAAGACATTCACCTGCGTGTACATGTCCATGGGGTGCGTGATAATACACGACGCCAGATGCCTTGCCATCTGCACATAATCGCGCATTGCCATTTTACCCTGTCGCATCGACAAGAATCTTGATCGCACCAGTTTCTCCTCTTGCGATGGCTCGAAAGCGAGACGAAGACCGTCGTGGATGGTATCGAAGGTGGGAAATGCGTGCTCGTCCACAACGAGCTTACCAAGGGCCCACTCCTCGGCCTTCCCGGTGAGGCGGGAAAGAAGAATGTTGACCTTCGCCTGGGTAGCCTCAAGAAGTCTCGCGGCTATGGCGATATCAACTTCTCGGAGCCACCGATTCAGCGACAACTGGTCTTTACCTTTTCCAGAGTAGGAGGAGGTTTCCATCTTCACGGCCTCATTACGTGAAGGTCGCGAGGGAGTTAAGCCTCGCCGGTTGGATTCTGCGAGCTCGCGTGCCATAAACTCATGTATGGCGAGACGTTGCGCGTCAGGGGTCGCTGATCTCATCAGCGAGGCGACGAATGCCTCTCCCGATATCGCCGCGAGGCGATTAAGAACATCCCACTCAACACCAGTAAGATGGGGGAAGGTCGCGTGCTCCAGAAATAAATCTGGAGCGTCAAAGTACGACGATTCGCTCATCCCAAACTCGGGCATAGGAAGGACTACTAAGTGCTATGGGGCTAGAACGTACCGTCACAAGCTTACACGCGCTTGAGGAAGACTCAAGCCCAAGTATTAGGTATTAAGTAAATTTAACTCTGATTTTTATTTTGGTTTTAATTCGTACTAATTACGAAGATTTTTAGTCGTAATAAATACGACAGTGTTCCCGCCTTTCGTAAACCACACAATTTCAGGTTGATTTATCATTGGTCCATATTGGGACTTTAGGCCCAATAATAAACCAATAATAAATTGTCACGCTGTGCCCGCTATTCGGGCCCAGCACCTGTCTACATATGTAATATGTTTATTTGTGTTAACTATGTGTGTAATGTAGCCCATTACATTGCCACTACGCAGATCACGCAAGAACCTTTAAAGATTCTAGCGTAGGCAACTGAGTTATCTCCGAATTTAACTTCGGAGGCGCGATCAGATCAAGCGTATAAGCGCCTACGTTTGATCCGTCATTAACCCAGACGTTCAACGTCTCGGTTTCTTCCTGGGGACTTATTCCCTCAGGGCACTGGGGACTTGTTCCCTCAGTGATTATTTCCTGGGGACTTATTCCCGCAGGCTCGATGGAACCTGTTCCATCGACTTCCTCCAGCTGTGGTGGCGCAACCACAGCAAGATCCTCTACGATCAACTCTCCAGTTGATCTAGATTACCGTGTTGCCGCTTCTGGGCAACCGGTTTACCCTTCGGTGAATGCTGCCCTCTAGGCGAGCATTTATGTTCCGGTCCACTCGACTTATTCGAGTGGTGGACCTTCGGCGCTGCCTGTGATTGTGCACAGCCGCCGACAGCTTGCTCCACAGTGTGACTGTCTGTCACGCTAAGCTCTTGTGCAGTCGTACTAACGACCGAAATGAGTCCATCGCGATCACTCGTAGTCCATTCACATGCTTTTAAACGCTACAAGACGTTCATCAGATGGCCATATGATGAACAAGCGGCAGGCATCTTCACGGTTCGATGCTGCCAGCTGACCCATCGCTCATACCTTCTGAGCCATGGTACTCCTAGGATGACATCAAATTTGTCATCCAGGTCAAGTACGATGAAATCATCATCGTACTTATTGCCTTCAAGCGTGTAGTGAATTCCCACTACACGTATCTTTACTGTTACGGATGCGCCAGTTGCAAGGCGCACCGTCATCCTCGTTGGAGGGGTCTCGCGCTCAACATATTTGAGCCTACGATCATCTAGCGATTGGCGTCGAACAAAGTTGTATGAAGCCCCACAATCAACTAGGACGCGAAGTGACATGTTCTTTGTCACTTCGATCTTCAATGTGATGAGGGATACCTCATCACTGGGAGCGGCAACACACAGTGACTGTGTGTTGGGATCAACCTTCGTCAAGATTCCCGCGAACTCTCTTGACGTTGCTGGATCAGTAGGGCGCTCTGCCCCTACTGAACCCGACCGTTTTTTGATGGTCCACCACGTTGTTGCGATTTCGCAGCAACGTGGGACCCACGTCTCTGGCCCTTCTTGGCAGACGGTCGATCGTCACTCCCAGTGTTACGAGACACTGGGCGTGGGGCACTACACTCATAAGCGTAGTGGCCCAACTTCTGACAGCAATTGCACTTTTGCAATCGCTTGTACCCTGGAGAGCGAAGTCGCTCGCTCTCTACATAGGAGATGTCCATTGGTTTTTGGACCTCCGCCCTCCTGTCATCTCGGTGGACGAAAGGACTCCAAGTGGACGTGAGCCTGTTGTAGGCTAAAGTCCTCCTGTTCCGCTGCAGAGATCGCTTGATCCAGCGATTCTAGCTCCAAGCGGAACAGGTGGGTCTTAACAGGACCATCTGTCAGACCCTTGATGAACACAGTAACCTGCGTGTGTTCATCGATTGGGTTCAGTACGATACAGCTAACGAGGTATCGTACGTGTTGGGCGTAAGCGTGTATATCACGCTTACCCTGTTTCAAATCCAGGAGCTCAGCCCGAGCCCTGAAGTCGGCGCGAGGCGGTTCAAACGTGTGTTTGAGCCGCGCCTTGAAGACGTCATACGTTGGGAAAACGTATGGGTCGTGCAGTTTGAGCCCTAAGGCCCAGGCTTTGGCACGTCCTGCCAAGTTCGACATGGCGAACTTGACCTTCTTCGCATCGTCATCGATGCGACGAGCCTCGATGGCATCGTCGAGCTCGACGAACCATCTTAACAAGGAGTCGCTTTTGACTGCCTTGTGCTTGGAGACATCAATCTTCAAGGACTCGGGTCGACGTATACACGTCGACCCGGCAGCAACAGCACTAGCCTGCTGTTGTCTCAACAGTTCAGACTGTTGAGCACCCTGCTGCATCAACAAGTCAGCTTGTTGAGCGCCTTGTTCTCTCAACATTTCAACCTGTTGAGAACCTTGCTTCTCTAGCAAGGTGAGCTTCTTTACAACTTCGTCAAGTTCATGTTGTATGAACTTGGCGATGGTTGCATGTTGGTCGTCTCCGCTAAGAGAGCAACATGGCACCAACGGCAGGGTTGCCGATGGTTTCAGCCATACGCTGAACCGCATTCCATTCGAGGTCACTCAAATGGCGGAAATCATCACGCGTTGCGTGATGACGTTCATCTTTCGCTGATTCCATAGCGGGTGGTGCGGTGGTCGCTGAACGGACCACGAAGTGCTACCAGGTGTAATGGGGCACCCTCCGACTATACTGATTACAGTATAGTCTACTTTCACTGATTACAGTGAAAGCAGGTGCCTCAAAACCTCTCTTACACAAGAGGCAGAGGAAGCTTATCAACTAAACAAACGCTTAGAAGTAGAGGAAAAGAAAACTGTATTTACTATAGTTAATTATCTAATAAAACTAATCTGTTATAACCTATGTTAACTATATTAAACTACAACTTTGTATGTTGACAACTTGCCCTCCACTCATTGCGCGCGTTCATCGGTCATTGGTCAGCGCGTTGGTTGATAACATGGCCCATATCAACCAATGAGAGGGCATCTCCAACTTCAAGAGATCTAAGAACAATATTATAAGTAAAGAAAATATTGTCAAATATTATTAGTTATAATAATATTATGTAACGGGCTCACCCCGTTACACTTGGGGCTGGAACCTGCCAGGTTTTTTATATCTTAGTTCTTTTATGTACAATACACATAATCCGATAAGATATCCCCTCTATTTAGTTATGGATATTGTCGTCCATTGTACCCATTACTTATTTAAGGGAGCTCTGTATATCAATTAGTTAGAGGGCATCTTTAACTTTATGGAGACGGCAAGGAACAATATTATAGGATAAGGTAATATTGTCAAATATTATTTGTGTCAAAATTATGTAACGGACTCACCCCGTATCAAGTATTGCAGACGTTTCTGGTGCTCTGTTCTACGTCGTGCCGGTGACATACTTCCCACCGTCATTCAAAGCCAATAAAGCGGCCATCTAGCGTGATGTCACTCAGCACGTGTGATTCTTTATTGTCTTCTGCTACGACTTTGCTGCAACCGACGATTCGAACGCGAAAAAATTTAAGTGTAAAGTTTGCTAGATGAAGAACCGGAAGATTGCTGACAAGAGCCGTCTGCGTCGATAAGGACAGCTAACAACTCCGACAGCGACATCAATTGAGTTTAAAATGAAGGAGCAGGAGATGCTGATCATTATTGCAGGTCTGCGAGCTGAGAACAAGTCACTGCTGGACTAGAACATGTTTCTGCGCTCGTTGGTAACGAGCTGCAAGCAGGAGCATGCATCGTCTCACAGCGACCACCAGCTGGCTGCTTTCGTGTTCTGCCAGATCAGAGCTGCGTGGCGCTCAACATGCTGGAGAGTGGTCAGAAGATGGATGTGGATGATGACGCACAGGCTGCAGATTTAGCTGCCATGTTTCCGCAACCAGGCAAGGGGCGTACTATGGCGTCCACGTTATCAATGGCAAGTGTGGAGGTGTGTGCGTCCGTGTTTGGAATCACTGTTTTCGTCGACTGCGATGGCACTGTCGTCGATGCAAGCAACATTCGTCGCGTTGGACACGTGCTGCATGAGGCTCCGACGTCGTGTGGAATAGAAGGGTGCTCAATTGAAGCATCGATGTCACCGTTGAGATTCGTGGCGACGATGGTGGGATATTGAGGGCAGTTGGTATCGTCGTCCGAGTTGGTGTTCGGTGTGTTGCTGAACGTGCCGTCCTTCGTTGTCATGTTGGCGCTTCTATCAGCTGTGGCAGTCGCATTCAGGGGTTGGGTAGTCAAAGAATTTGTGCGTCCTATCGAAGTCTGTACGTCCGCATGCATAGCTGCAGGCAGCATTGTCGTGGAGCCAGCTCGTCTGCAATTGGGCAAGTGCAAAGCGAAGCGGAACGGAAGTGGGCCGACATCCTGTCTGACTCACGATAATCCTTTTTGTTGCAATTACACCGTTGAGGCGTAATCTCTACCTGTGCTCGCAAATTATTGTGTTTTGAGCTACGCTGTGGAACTGATGCGATTTAAGTAGATGCATGTATGAGTTTTGAAGTGCTACTTAGTAGTAGTCAACCTGCCTTTATAATCAAGTAAATTGGGAGTGAATACGCGTCCTTAACAGCAGAACATCCTCAGATTTAACATTTTTTAAGCGGTATGTTGGAGCCTGGTTGACAGTTCAATTGAGGCCGAGGTGTAGGATAGTTGACTGTAGTCGATCGGCAAATCGGTCTAGCCATTTTTATTGTAACGCTACGCTGCCCAGCTCGTTTGTTTAGCGAGCAGACTCTTACATTAACACGACAACCTGAAATGCTATACGAATCAGCAAGTTGGTCGATACAAGCAAGACCATGTCAATCTATAAAAGATTATGCCATGTCTGCTAATTACATGATAAAACTTACTGTTTCTGATGGTTGTAGCAAGACGATTCTGTTGTGATATTTTCAGAGACTGCAATAAAGCGAGATTGCAACAGATTCATCCTCTGTTGTCTTGCGCTCTAATGTCCTAGCCAGGAGGGCTAGTGCACGCGTCAAGCTTCTCGCTCACTAGTACAGGAGGACTTCGTCTGCATACTAAACACGGCTTGCATCTCTGGCTCCTTACTATCAGGTTCCAGCTCGATGAAGGCGGTCTCAGGGTAAATGCTGCGTATTGCCTCTTCGACCTCTTGCACCTCCTTCTCTACAAGACGAGTCACATCCTCCGCGTACCACGATAACATAAGTGATTAATCATTCTTCCAATCCAGAAATACTGGCTTGTATCTACCTACCCAGCATAAACAAAAGGACAGCATCATAAGCACTATGTATTTGCATAGAATGACCAGACCACAACGAGTACATTTGTAGTAGTCTCACTGCCAAGTACGTTCCATTAAAGTCCACTTAAGCCTACAAATGTCGTATATCCACACAGGTCAGAGCCACAAGACAAGAGAGTACATGCAGAGATTGCTCTGCGCTGCCGTCTTACCTTGAAGCTAAATGTTGATGGTCTAACCCACTGTGACTGGACAGCATACACGTTGTCAATGGACGGACGTGCCAGCAGCAGCAACTCGCGGATACCATTCTCAATTTTCGGCTCCACGACTGACCCAATAGATACTTTTGGTTCAGACGGACGAGTGATACTGCAACACCACCAAGAAGCACACCAATCGAAACACTTGCGAGGCTATCCCATAGTGTGTTGTCGGTAATATGTATGGCCCCGATGCCGCATCCAGCAATAATAAACACCCACACAGGTCGAGAAATTCTCGAGCAGAACAGCCATCATAAACGGGTCTTTTCGTCCGCTTTACTTAATGATAAAAATACATGCTTTCGGGCTTAGTGGCCAGTAGTTCCTGTACTGACCGCTTAAGCACCCATCCGTCGATGCTGAAAGAAGCCGCAAGCACGCACCAGATCTCCCACGATAGAGGGGAGCTCTTTAAGAGGCTCTAGGATCGACTGGATTCCGTGAACAACAGTCACATCAGAAACTGCCCAAATGAAGAAATGAGCGACCAAAAGTAAGCAGCGCGTCCGTATCGGTACTGATGTTTTTTGTACGGAACAGCTGACGCTTGCTTCAGACCCAAGATAGAGATGGCCTGATTGCTGGTGTCCACGAGCGAGCAAAAGCCGTCAAAAGCATAGCATTGGAGCCAGTCTTGAGCCACGCTAATACGTTTGTGGATCGTAATGGTTTTATTCCTCGCCATGGCTCGGAATGCCACATCCTGCGACGTCGAGCGGTACACTTTTTCTATAAAATAGGCCTTATTAACATCTGTCCATGGCTTTGGCTAAAGATAACAACCTTAGTTAAGAATGGTTCATTGTCCTTCTCCTTCTTCTGTATCGTTAAAAAACGACCCATCGCGTACTATCGAAGGAAAGGCTGATGCGGTGGTAAAAAGAGCGATCTACGTCTCTGGAATGACGACCGATGACCCTGAGACATGAATGACAATTGACGCAAGTTTTGGGAACGTCGTAGCGACGACCGTGCTACATGAAGAGACCTTAGCATGACGACAAGTTATTCGGGTTAGTGGTTTATCGATTGGGACGCTAGCGACGTCGATAGGATGGGTTTAATGTAGTTACATACAATTTTAGCCTCAGTTGCGTGAGGCATCAGAGTGAACGTAAGGACAAGTGCGGACGGCCTCTCCACAGCAACATTAGTAACCTCAGTAATTTATTAGTAGAAGTCTCGGTATCTATCACAACAATTACACGAATCTTTACGCGATGTACAGAAGTCTCAGTCTCGTCTTTTCAAACTACGACATCAGTTCATCAAAAGAAAGTAGTGTCAATCTCGGCTTCTGTATCGATAACTTTGGTATAGAAACAGGTGCCTACGTCTCTCATAATGTAGCTTCATCAATCTCCTCGACAAAATCTCCGTAGCATTAACTTTCCCCACTATTGCGATCCGCGACATCTTGCAGCGGATTCACAACGGCCGAGAGACAAAGACCTCCAAAGAGCCGGGTCACCGGTCCACGATCCCTAGATGGAAAGTGCAACAATAGTGGGGCCTATCAATAGAAAAGATGCCTTCTTTCCGCTGAGTTTGCTACGGGAGGCAGCGCTCGTGAGAACCGCAAGCAGAGCAACAACCCAGAACCACGGGATGCGGGGCACGACGTCCAAGAACTTCACCTCATCTAGTTCCTGCTATTCTACGTCCGCCTTTTCGTCGCCGACCCGTTCGCCGAGCGCAAATCCCGGTCTTATTAAGCGAATTTGCCAAGAACGTGAGACAATCGGCCCACTAAGATGCGTCAGCGGTCAATAGGGATAATCGGAATGGTAACCGGCACTTGCCGCGTCATTAGCGCCCTGCATGCACCCTGGGACAAATCGTTGATTACATGTGCCCTTTGCGGAGTGTCCCCCATAAAGCTTGACGTCTCGAGCCAGCAGAATGAGCCAGCGAGAAGAAGAACAATGTAGTCTTGGTAGAAGCAAAATGATATTGAAGATACTCACAAGCACTTAAATTGGCCCTTCAATTGTTCATCACATCTGGAGCGGATTTGCTGGACCGGACTCGAACCGAATGCATCTCGTGTTTATGCCCCACCATATAAACACCTGTGCAGCAAAGTGAGCTTTGCTTGTGACAACAAGCAAACACATGTTTTAGGTTGACAAGGACTACCCCGGGTAGAAAACCTGTAAAAGGTCCAGGCCAATCAATTGCACCACAAGCTCCGGCGTTCGAGTCGAATGGGTCAGATAGTTTTAAGTTGCAGTCTTGCATATGAAGAGAGCAGAGTTGAGCCATGAACTACGCTGTGTACAGCAGTTATGCCTCGTAAAACTGAGACGCCTGAGCTTCATTCGAAAAAACTCATGTAGGAATCTCATGCTCGGACTTCCACACGATATTCAGCTGCTGCTATAATGTAGCGTATTCGACATCTTCAGCTTATAGGAAGACGAGTACTGTGGACATTCAGCGGAATGGAAAGATAGATGTAAATATCTATTGGTATGTATGTACTTTTAAGGAATACCCCACTTTTTACCCTTCTTTTAGTCTACTACACAGCATTTTAAAGGCATCTGTCTGCATTTTTTTAAAGCATGGTATAATGAATAGAGACACGCTATTTATTTATTTCAGCCAATCACCAAGCAGATATTCATATTTTAAAGAAGGGGATTTTCTGCATCAATGGTGAGACACGAGAGGAACGCTGTTTATTTGTCAGTACCGAGCAGATCTTCATGTCCGATCTTGTGCCTGTCTGAAGATATGATGGGGATTGTCTGCATCTTTTAGGAGATGGTGCCATTAAGAATGAACATGAAGAAGTGTTATTGATTTCAGCCACTAGTAACCAGCCAATATGATTGGCATCCAACTTGTCCCCGGATGAAATCTTACAAGCTCCCCCACTCTTCATTTTGCTCCCGCACCTCCAGGTCACTTTAAGTTTCGAAGATGCCTGTCATGCCCAAGAAAACTTCGCTTACCAAAGCGCTGATGGTTATCATTCTCGTCGTTCGCTCGACCATGGGAATGGCAACGGCAGATCTGTCACCAGAGGATGCCCTACGCACCTTCCAGGCGTCGGATACATTGGATATGGATCTGACACCTCATGCCTCGAAACAGAAGAGGTACTTGAGGTCGGCAACAGACGTGACGACAACCAGCACTGGTGAGTTGAGAAGACTAGTTTCTGATCTCTCGGGTCTTAAGGAATTTGGAAACTCTCTTGGAAAACAGGCGGTAGCCTTCCCTGCGAGACTGCGTCAAAGTGTTTCAGCAATCTACTCCAAGATCATGACAAGAATTCGAGGGAAACGGTGGTTGTGGGTTAAGAACAATAAAATCAAGAAGTCTTTCACGGATTTGAAGCTCGAAGAGGGAATGAAGACATCTGAACACCTAAAGTGGAAAAAAATCGTCGAGAAAACCACGCCCAAGGCAAATGTACCCGAAGTGATGTTTAATTTTTTGGTTACGGAATTGAAAGATGAAAATCTTCTGGCACCCCTTCTAGCTCAAGCAAAAGAAGCGGCCACAGCAGACGACATGGTTAAGAGCGTTTACAACTATCAGATTTCGAAGTGGGTTCACAATGATAATTACTCGCCGGATTTGGTTTTCAAAATTCTGGGACTCAACAAGAAGACAGAACTCGATAAATTACCTAGCCGCCCAGAATTTAGCATGTGGGCTGCATTTAATACCGAAAAGAAGTCGGAGGAAAAGGCTTTCGAATTTCTTAAAGGATCACATAACAGGATTATTAATCTTAATCTGATGAGGACTCTTGCTAAAATCGGCGAAGCCGATGCCAACTTTAAATTTGCTCAAGACCTGCTACGCTTTCAGCTCCAGTATTTGAAGAAGAATCCCAAAGTTATGGAGTCATCCTTCAAACTTTTTAGGCTTCAAGGGAAGGGATCGAAATTAACCGATCTGACTACGGATCCACTTGGAAGGCTTTGGGTCGACTACGTGTATATGAGAGCACAGAGCAAAGATGGTATTACTGACTTCGGTGCAGTCTATAGCAAACTATTTAACAAGGTTGGCCATGACGCAGCCGTAGGTGTGATGGAGAAGATGCACAAGGACGGCTATTTCCTGCAATCACTGGAGAAGGAGAACCCTCTTAAGGGAAAAAAAGATGTGGCCAAGGAGCTGTACGAAGCTATGCTTAAAGCATTGGGAGGTAAAGGTAATCTGGCCAAGACCCTAGCTCAAGCAAAAAGCTCACCCAAATTCGGGTACATGATTGAGAGTGTTTACAGCTATCAAATTGCGAAGTGGATTGAACATAAGGACACCACGGGAACAGTTTTTAATCTTCTGGGACTCAACACGCTTAAGACGTTTGATGAACTACTCGCCCGTCCAGAATTCAGCATGTGGGCTGCATTTATTACTGAAAAGAAGTCGGAGGAAAAGGCTTTCGAATTTCTTAAAGGATCACATAACAGGATTATTAATCTTAATCTGATGAGGACTCTTGCTAAAATCGGCGAAGCCGATGCCAACTTTAAATTTGCTCAAGACCTGCTACGCTTTCAGCTCCAGTATTTGAAGAAGAATCCCAAAGTTATGGAGTCATCCTTCAAACTTTTTAGGCTTCAAGGGAAGGGATCGAAATTAACCGATCTGACTACGGATCAGCTTGGAAGACTTTGGGTCGACTACGTGTATATGAGAGCACAGGGTGAAGGCGGTATTACTGACTTTCGTGAAGTCTACAAAAGACTTAAGAAGCGTGTTGGCCATGACGCAGCCGTAGCTGTGATGGAGAAGGTGCACAAGGACGGCTATTTCCTGAAAGCGCTGGAGAAGGAGAAGCCTATCAAGGGAGATAAAGATTTTGATTCGTTTCTGAAGGACCTTCGAGAAAAGATGGCAAAGAATTCCAAGTGAGAGCTGGTGGAGGGAATCATGCTACACTCCATAGTGAGTATCGGAGGCCTGCTATCATCGTGACCATGACGTAGGGGGCAGATAGTGGTGGTAGCTGCTTTTTCTTGTTGGTAAGAAGAAATACACTTTTCATATACTTTCCTTACTTGTTCTGTGTGTAAATATGGAAGTCGTATCGGTAACTGATCACCAGCAGCTCAACATTAAACTTTAAACGTCGGAAGACTAAATGACACGCGTGTATCTCGATTATAATGCTACGACGCCTGTGGAGCCCGCCGTAATGCAGGCATTACTGCCATATTTTGGTCCACAATTTGGCAATGCGTCTTCAACTTATGCACTTGGACAAAACGCTAAGAAAGCGGTGGAGATGGCACGTACCCAAGTGGCATCAATGTTGGGCGCCTCTGACTCGAATGAAATTGTCTTTCTTTCAGGTGGTACCGAGTCAATTAATTATGCAATCAAAGGGTCAGCACTTGCAGCAAAACGTACGAGTGGACGTAACCACATTGTCACGTCTAGCGTCGAGCATGTGGCGGTGCTGGAGACGTGTAAATGGTTGGAGACACAGGGATTCCAAGTCACATACCTGCCTGTAAATAATTTTGGCTGTGTCCGGGTACAAGATGTACTGGATGCACTTACCGTACAGACGTGTGTGGTGTCCATTATGCTTGCTAACAATGAAGTTGGATCGTTGCAGCCAGTTGCAGCAATTTCTCGAGCAGTGCGACAATTCGTCGAGGACGAGGAGAATCGGCTACCTATTGTCGTGCATACAGACGCCAGTCAAGCGATTGGTAAAGTACGTGTGAATGTCGTGGAGCTTGACGTGGATTTGGTGACAGTGACGGGCCTCAATTCTATGCGCCAAAGGGTTTCGGCGCTCTCTACGTCCGTAGAAGCATGGTACTGGACACGATTATTTACAAAGCGTTGCAGGAGAACGGACGTCGTGGTGGCTCAGAGAATGCAAGACTAGTGTCTCAGTCCAATAATGGTACCGAACAGACCGTCGTGCCAGATGTGGAAGACATCGTTGCACACGTTGTAGCGCTGGAGACGGCGCAGCATATCTGATGCATGCACTGCAAATACACCCACCGATTGGCGCTCGTCGCGACTCAGACCCAATAAATGCTGCAAGAACGCTCCTTCAGCAAACGTGCCATGAACCAAACGCTCGAGATCTATTCCAGTTGACCAAAGCTCACGCCTTTTAGCTGTCACTTGTACAGTTTCATCCTCGATGGCCTCTAACTCAGCCTTTAGTTGTCGCTCTTCCTCCTCCAAAGCGCAAAGCTCTGGGTCAAGGTGCCACTCATCGGCATTGTAATCTCCGTCGTCGCTCAATGTTCGTGCTGATGCCCACTCTTCGTCTGCAAAATGAGCCATAAAATCCTCGTATTGAGCTCGATCCTCCTCCAGTTCGTTCAATACTCTGCAGTAGTCATCAGCAGAAAAATGTATAATGATAAGCTCTTCTCAAAGGTGGCACAAAAAAGCAGGTGCTCACTTACTGAGTAAATCGAGACAGCACCTTCCTTCACAGTCATGACAAGTAGGTAACCTCTTTTTGTGTAGAACCGTGCTGTAGACAACAACTATATGTATTCTTAGGGAGAAATATAATTTCATTCGCCGTACCTGCAGTCCAGTAGTTCCAGGAACCAGCTGAGATCACTGCCATCAATGCGGCGCTTTCGTATCAGACATCTTCGACGAACAACACGCTCTTGCGACATTGCATCAGACTTTTCAGTCTTTTTGGCAGTTCTACTGAGCTCGCCACCTTTCACTGCCTCCTCTCGATGCACATGAGGCTCCTCCAGCTTGCCAAAATCTACGTGCGAGCAGTGCGGAAGGGAGTAATCCACCTCCCAGTCCGATATCCACAAGTGCGGCTTGTTCAGTAGTCGCGCCGGCACCACATCTGCAATGTTTTGTCCAATATCTCCACAATTGCAGCTCGTGTAAGCTGCAATCCTATTTACGAGGTCGAATTCAGCAGGCACCCAAACACCAACATCACTGCTGTAGTCCAGACGTTGTCGTTCCCACACAATCTCGGGGACAATAGCCGGCGTCTTTTGCTGCTGTTGCTGTTGACTTAGTGAGGACCTGGCTGCCATATGTGATGCTTCTTCCTCTTCATCTGCATCTATAGCCTCTCCAGCGTCCGTTTTTTCTGTAAGTCTTGGCATCTGGTCTTCCTCGTTTTCTACCTTGCTGTCTCGTTCCTCGGACACCTCCGACGAGTGCTCGTAGGCCACCGGTCGAAGCTTCAAGATCTTCTCCTCAATAGACACTGGACTATGTTGGAATTTGAGTAGTGCACCACATTGGTGGCACGTGAACAAGCTCTTCCCTTCCATAGCGACGCGTCTGGCATTAGGCGCAGGACTCTTGGCGTATGGCGAGAAGGACGCACCGACAGATGACGGTGCTGAAAATGAAGACAAAGCAGTCAATGTAGATCCACCATGAGCACCAATAGTGGCTGGAGGTCGTGATAATGCTGTAATAATCTTAGGCGGATGCAACGAGCCATTGCTGCTCATTGGAATGTTGATTTATTGGGCTGTAGACGTCAGATGAGCCTGGCACAAGTGTCAAAATGATGACAATTAATTTCCAAATGATCAAGAGATTATAATAGTGACGTAGTACACGTCGTAGACAGAGAGAGATGGAGCTAGACGACGTAGACACTGAAGAGGAAGATGGAGTAACGCCACCGTAATCGAGTGATTCTTATGAGTAATTCTGATTGGGTAAAATCAATTGATTATAGTATTGGACACTGGTGTGGACAACTTAATTTGTCCACCATCTGATTGAAGTACAAGACAAAATTACATTACAGCGCATGAGTTACCGACTTGTCCTTTCTCTTGCATGACCAGTTCCTCTTTGTCCTCTTCAACAAGTAATGGTACTATAGCTTTCTGCTTGGGTCTATCAGCTCGAATAGAAGTGCTCTTCTTCCCGGTTTTATCCTCACGTACCATCATGTTGGCAAAGGGGTCATCGGCCTCGTCCTCATGCTGTAATCGATGTTGCGTAGCAGCCACCACTTCCACCGGCACGCCCATCTTCGTAGCCTCCAACTTCATTTGTTCACGCAATACCGCCTTCTTCACTGCGTCGTTCTTAAAAGGCACTACAGCATAACAATAAGAGATCTACTAGTTAATCATCAATACACACACCCAACGTATAGCTTTTTATTGTACACACCGAAAGCATCTTCGGCTGCATCAGCCTCCAAGTCTACGGGTTTATCCCATCGATCTTCTCCCGTCTCTGTATTGTGATAAAAGATGCGTCCACGCTTGGAAAGGAGCACCGCCCATCGCTTCCGCTGCAGTTTCTTCTCTTCCGCTGCTCCATTGGCGTCAAAAGCCACAGTCGCTACCTCGATTCCTCTGCCGTTCTCCGTCACCACGGCACTGTACGAATAATTGCACACTGTACACTTACCCAGTGCCAACATATCGTCCTTGGGTACATTCACATGGCAGCCTGCGCACTTGATGAAGCGCTCATTCAACGTCCCACTCGTCGCGCCATTCACCCCGTGCGATATCATTTGTATGAAGATATTGACTTGGCTACAGTATTTACAATGGAAATGGCCGTTTTTTCTCACTGAGAAAAACTCAAAGCGCGAATGTCGATGCGAAAGAACAGGTTTTGTTTTGCACGTTACAGACGGGGCAGCCCGAATGCCGAAGCGACGCCACTTTTGAGCTCGTCACCAATTGCATTGCATAAAAAGACTCAGATGATCCTGGACGCGATTCGGTACATTATCACTATTCATCTCAATGGCTTTAATTCTTCTCTCTGTATGCAGCTAAACATTCTCTATTGCTGGAGTGTTCAGGTGGATGGATGCGTCGATAGTGAATCCTGTTGCGACGCGATTGGCCGGATCTGTGGCCAACCCGGCAGTGCTGAGCTTCTTGCTGTGGGAACGACTAAAGACACTGACGCCGCAGCGCGCACGTGATTTGATGCGGCTACTGTCCACTGCAGTGGCCAATGCCTTGGGTGTTCTTCGTGCTGAGAGGGGCAAGCAGCTTGGAGTTAGCTCCAAGCAACTGCACAAGGACTTTCTGCGAGCTGCCAGTAGCCGCAGCGGTCGAGAGGTGGTGTTAAATAGCGTGGCTACAATGGCTAAGGTGGCGCAGGCACTCAACACACCCGAGACCAAGGCAGCTACGCAGCAGCTTTTTCAGACGCTGCAGTCCGTGGTGGACTTCTTTGCAAGCTACGATGGACGACGCATTATTTCGAGTACTGGCCAGTGTCTTACTAGTGTTACTGAGGTGACAGCGTCACCTGAAGCCTCCATTTTCTTGGCGGAACTAGCCACGAACATCTTGCACACGCTCGAAAGTGACGCAAAACGGCAACATTCGAGTCCTGCTAAAGAGGAGGAGGAAGTGAAGGAAAAGAAGGAGGAAGAACAAGACGGGCGAGAACGGGAGGTTGATCAGGAGCTACCGCGTGAGACAGAGGCGGACCATGAAAGGGATCATAAAGATTCGTACTCACCGGCCTCTTCGATGGCCAAAACACGGCGGAGTTTCGACACGGAATCCATGCCATCGTCAGCACCTGGAACTCCTACAATAGGAATGTTTACGCCTCACGAACCGGCACACGGACATATGTCGTCGTCATTTGCCATGCTATCGGGGATGCGGCGTCAGGCGCTGATATCGCCGCCTGCAGAGAAAAGTAGAAGCTACCGCTCGGCACGCATTGAAAAGGAGGTGTTGCTGAAGTTGGGAGTCGACCCGTCATTGCTCAGCGAGATCCAGCGTGTGCTAGATGTTGTCGCTGCTGACGAAGAAGAGAAAGAACTGGCGGAATTGCAGCGTCGGCGTGAAGAGGCAGATATCTTTTCAAGTTTAGTAGTGTCTGAGTCGGCGAACGCGGGTATCACGCACGCGTTTGGCAATGACGAGGATGAAGAAAAAACTGATGATGTCACCCACGGTAACGAAGGAGTGTCGGACCCGACATCAGAACTGCTTCCTGAATGGCACGAGAAGCCGCTGCGGGAGGCACTTCGACGTCGCCACGCCCACGCTGAAGCATCAATGGAGGAACGATATTCTGCACATCGTCAAGTTCGCGAGATGGCGGCGGTGCTGGCTCGACGCAATATTGAGCATGGAGACCTCCAACCTGGTGATATTGTGGCTTGCCGGATTATAGCCCGGATGATCGTATACGGTGCGGGTCTGTCCTTGCTGCTGTCGGGGTACCTGCTCAGTCGAAAGCTCTTTGGTTGAGAAGTGCGGAGTATATATATCTTACTGATTATCCAAGCATTTTTATCCTAGACACCCCGAGCCTATTGCTTTGCATTAACGTTTTCTTGTAAGTGCATCCAGGACGGCGTGAAGTGGTCTAAAATGTTCTGCTGCATTCTTGTGATACCTTCGACCGAAAAGGCCTGTAAGGCCGTATTGGTCCTGAAACACACACCACTCGAGTTTTTCGGTGACCAGGTGACAATGTTGATATCGTTCTTCAAAAACAGGCAGGACATGAACTTTATACCGTGCCATAGATATTTTTTTCACATCAAGACGGATAATGCATGCTTTGATGCTCAGTATGTTTGTGCCAGTCCGCTGTAGTTCCCGTATTTAACCGCTCGTCCTGACAATATGCAGTAGCTTTGTCACCATAATTAGGTTTGACAGCATTGATCGTGTGGTGTTTTCAGCCATGAGAATGGCTTCCTTTAACGCGCAACCGACTTTCTTGGGCGATATTTTCTCGACGATCTATCGCCACACGGGAAACTCCGGGGACGCTAATATTTTGGGTTTGTTGATACATTAGAACCTGTGTTAATTAATACAATGAAATTTTCAAAAAAGTTTGGCTTTGGGATTTTATTATATAAGCCTGTCATGAACTTGTTGTCATTCGCCATCTAAGACTAATTAACTTATGGAGGCTATTGTTTTACTACTATTAATTTTGTAACAACAACTCTTATAACAACTTATCAAAGGTCAATCCATCCAAAAGGTTTTTTATACAGGTTCTACTTTATCATTTCCTAAAACATGCAGACAGTCTTCTTTTATACCACAAGAAACAGCTGCTTGGTAACAGACTGAGTCTACTGTAAAATGAATAAAAAAAAATTATTCACCTTACAGTAAATTCAAACTAAATGAATACTTTAAGAACGCCGATGTTCAAATTAGTTTTAGGGTTTATCACTTAAGACAGCTATAAAATAATTTTTAATCGCCGTTTGAAGACCAATATTTTTTTTAAAAATTACTTAGGCAGGATCTACATGCGGACAATTTTCTTGGCACCGGATCAGACCCAGGTACTTTACAAGATAATTTGAGATGGTGAGCGGCGATCAGTATAGGATGACGACATCCCCAAACGCATTCATGGCTTTCGTCATCCTACACTGATCGCCGCTCACCATGCAAGGCCTGGACTACCTACCTAAAGAAGGTCCAGGCCGAACAAAAAATTGCATCACAAGCTCCGGCGCTCGTGTTAAACCAATGGGCCAGATAGTTTTACGTTACGCACTTCCCAATTCGCGCCTTCGAGCAACAACGGCCAAGAGACGAAGACCTTCAAAGAGCCGGTCAACCGGCCCCCTCCGACCAGGGCGGGAAGTCCCTCCAACGGGAGGCCTAGGATAAGAGGGGGGAGGTTTTCCCTCTGCTGCGTGCGCTATGGGGGGCAAGCGCAGCGTGCGAACCGTAAGGGGAGCACCAACCCTGTTACCCCCGGGGGGAGAGGATCGACGACCGCGGTTATCATTCCCTCTTTCCCCAATAGTTCCTGCTATTCTACGTCAGCCTTCAAGCCGCCGATTCGATCGCCGAGCGCGAATCTCGGTCCCACGAAGTGAACTTGCCAAGAACGTGAATTGATCGGCCCCGTCCAGGTGCATCAGCGGTCGATCGGGACTGATCGGTGTGGTGCCCGGCGCTTGTTGCGATCATTGAGCCACTGTTTACACCTCGGGCTGGATACCCGATTCCACGTGCCCTTTTCGGAGTGTCCCCCGTGACGCCCGACGTCTCGAGCCAGCAGATTGAGCCAGCGAGGCGAAGAATGACGAAGTCCTGGTAGAAGCACTCCAGACATCTTACCAATCCTTAATGTTTGAAATAGACGGTCTGTTCTTCTCTCTCTCTCTAGTTTTACGTTACGGTCTTGTATATGAAGAGACAGTCATGGACTACGCGGGGTATAGCAGTAATGCCTCGTAGAATCGAGACACCTGAGCTTCATTTGACAACATCATGCAAGCGCGGCTAAGAAACTTCTGCTCGGGCTTCCACACAATATCCAGTTGCTGTTATTTCATAGCGTATTCGACATCTCCACCTTAATGGAGGACGACTAGTGTGACATATCAGCGGAATTGTTAGACGGCTAATTATGAAACAGACGCCGTTAAAATGTTGTCTTTTAGACTAAAAGAAGGGTAAATAATCGTGGTATTCCTTGATGGAAGAACGCGTATTTTACTATACGGTGACAATCACTGTACGTTTTGACATGCCACACTGGCTATTTATCCGTCTGAAACACGTGTTTGCCCTTTTTTTCAAGCAAAGCTTACTTTATTGCACAGACGTTTATACATTGGGGTATAAACATGAGACGTATTCGGTTCGAGTCCAATCCGCTGCAAGATGTCACGGAACGCCAGTTACTGTTTGGCTCTTTGCTATCACCATGGTCTCCGCCAAACTTTTACCGTTCCTTCGCAAAGCATGCCCTTTAGGCGCCTCGATTACCGTCCTTGTGACGATGGTAACCTGCGTTATCATCGTCAAGGCGAATAACATTTGGGTTAGCGGTCTTGCGTGGCCATTTCTTTCGGACATGGGGCGAGGTACGACTGAACTCGCTATGTCCTACGTTTAATGGAGCTGTGCGCTGATGAAGTTGACATGGTTACTTGTTTATATTCTGCGCAGACGTCCCAGCTTACTACGTGTTCTGCACAGGGCTTTCGATCGTCGCCATGCTGCTCGTTGTCACATGGACTTTTAATTGGCACTACCACATTTCGGCACTGCCGCAGGATGCCACTGTCCTTCGTGCGATTTCCCGGGTCAGTTGTGTTGCTGGTGTCCTGGCTAACCCGGGTCTTCCTATTCTGGTAAGCGATTTAGTAAAAATCAGTGAAAGCTTTTTTCACTAACCCATTGCTTCGATGATGACAGGCTTTCTTCGACACTTCGAAGTACGCCGGACTCCATTCTGCGGGCGCCGAGTGGTTTTTTTACATTGAGACCCTCGCGATCCTTCTGAACGTACGTATATTATTTTGCCTTACTTCTGCTTGGAGGCAACTTTAAACACACTATACTTTTGTTTGTTCAGACTATCATCAGCTACAAGCTGTACAAGATGCTGACAGGTTTGCAGATTGACCTGGAAAACGCGTGCTCCACCACGCGCGTCAAGCTTCAGAGGAGGAAAAATACACTGATGATCCAAGTGCTTTTTTTCGCGCTGTTTTTCGTGGCATTCCTCATCTACATGCCGATCGGAAAAGCATTGATTCCAGAGTATAATCGCCTTTCTATTGACGACTGCATTAACAAGGGTCTAGGAGAGACGTATTGTGAGGTAACAATGCGTCTTAATTCGACAACAACCACGCTGTATGACAATGGTACGTTTATTTGGTGGCTCGTTTATTGATTGCCTGAAGCGGTACCTAATGAAAATTAATCTATTTGTATGCTTATTAACAGAAAAAACGTACGGTATAAGCCAAATGCGGGCTGCCGCCCAGCTTGCTTGCATCCTAACGCTCGTGGGATATTCGACTTCTTTTATCAGTAACGACTACGATAACTCGGAGGGATCGGTATTCACCCCGGACAACAAGATTTCCGTGCTGCATTAGAGGTGCATCGTCGCTATGACGGCATAATTGGAAACGGTGTGAATAATAGGAATCAGTATGTTGATCCATTGTTGTTCTACGTCCGAAGTTGGCTCGCAGTGTTGTACAGGACGTGTACTACTACATGTATTAGTACTGGCGGATCATGTATTGCTCACATCTAGCAAAGTGGAAATAGGGGTTGGCTGATCGATCACGTGGGTACAAGAGGCTTAACAAATGTAATGAAAGGAGGCTGATGTTATATCATTCGCTAGTTGACAGAATTATATACTAGTTAAAATGGAAGCGAAGGGTCGTAAACTGATGTTGTCACGAGGTTACACAACGGTTGGATTATCGATAAAAATGCATAAAATACAAATGTGATACTAGCCTTTACGAAGGAATTAAACGTGATTTACTTAATGTATTAAAATCGGATTGGTCAGAAAAAATATGGGAACATCTATTGAAATTGATATCAATTTAATGATAAAGGCGCTGGGATAGGACGATACAACAACGAATCGAAAAAAGCGACAAGATTGGCTACGAACAGATGCTGGGCGAAGCAGTAGATGCTCTCTTTGGCATAATGTGTTGGTAGGAATTTATCAACTATAATTATATGTTACGTTTGCTTATATCTAATTCTGCGGAAGTGCATTGCTCCCTTAAAACAGGTTATGAGCCCTATAAACCGCGAGGCTGGTAAAGCCGGCTGCACCGGCTGAGGTTGTCGACGGTCGCGAAAGGACCATTATCACCGCCACAAAAAAGGCCGAAGTGCCGGTGATGGCATGGGAAAAGTGCTGTTGCAAAAAGCGCCTGGCCAGCAAGCGATAAACGAAGGTACAGATGAGAAAATGTGCGACGTAGAACTGGTAATGTGCAAAATTATGATGATAATGCCCGACGAGGAGATTCGTAATGCACGGCGAGGAGATTGGTCATGTGCAATGTGGTGATTGGTAATGCGTGACGTGGCGATTTGTAATGCGCGACGTGGCGATTGGTAATGCGCGACGTGGTGATTGGTAATGCGTAGTCGAGAGAATTCGGTAGTCTTAAAGTAGCAGATAAAATAGCTAACTAAGGACTTATATATATTCACTTTGCACCTTGCTACAAGCATGCGCTCCTATCTAAAGTAGATGAAGGTACTTGACAACTTGATGGTAAAATGTAAAGTGATTACATTTAGGTTCTTAGTTCACAAAAAGCCACCTCTAAGCTATCCTTCTCGAGCCATCTAGAACCTAGTGTAGAAGCTTCAGCAATGACTTTATCTATGAAGTTGTTCCGTGACATCTTACAATGACGTCACAAATACGGATACCTTACCGGTATATGTGTACATCTCGAGGCGTCGTCTTGACAACACTACCACTCGACTCGATGGTGTAAAGCGCTTGAGTTACCAACTTGTTTTACAGAATGTTAATTTTCTCCGCGGTATTGGTCTTCGTCATGATGTCAGCTAGCATGTCCTGTGTCGGACAATACTCCAGCACCACTTGAGCTTTTCGACCTTCTCACGCACGAAGTGGTAGCGGACGCCGATGTGCTTGCTGCGCTTGTGAAACTCCGGGTTCTTGGCGAGAGCGATAGCACCTTGGTTGTCCTCGTAAATCTTGACTGCTTCCTCTTTCGCTATCTTACCAATCTAACACATGAACACCTTCTTGCGTTGCTTATGACAGCGCCATGTACTCTGCTTCTGTAGATGATAGCGCCACCGTCCGTTGCTTCTTGCTCCTCCAGCTGATACATCCGCCGTTCATCATGAACGCGTAGCCACTTGTACTTCGTCGTGACCCGATGTCACCCTCCCAATCCGCATCTGAGTAATCTTGGAGCCGTTTTCATTATTCGCTTGGAAGTCGATGCTATGAGTCTTCGTTCCTTGAATGTACCTGAAGCGTCTAACAAGAAGCAAGACCAGCCAAGCCGACGGGTACACAAGGTGAGACCCAATGTTGAAGCGACACGGTGTCGGAGTAACCCCTCCGTAAGGATCCACCACAAAACGAAGAACGAAGAATTGACATGATTGCCTGAAATAAAAGGAAGTAAGACGAAAGAGATGAAAAAGTGAGATGCACAAAGCCGAAGTTGAGGAGAACGAATTCTCGTGTTTATTTGGAACTTTTACAAAGATGAACTGAACTTACCGCCGATGCGAGTAACCAAGGTCCCATAATGAGGTACGGATGTCAACAGAGACGAAGTGAGCCACGGCCTCGCGGAGTCCGAAGCTTGAAGGCATTCAGTAAGCTGGCTGTGTCTAATTCCTCCTCACGACCGGAATATCAGTACACCACGCAGCTAAGTCGAGGAAGGTGCCTGAAGAAGGGGTCCAATAGGATGTCGAGATCACATCAGCCCTAACTCATTCCTACGAAGAGAAAGTCAATTACGTCCCGCCACGCACGAATTGCCCGACCCCGACATTTCTTCCGTGCGTTGTAGTACTATGCAAGGAGCGTTTTTTACGTACCTGGTCTTTCGAGATTCACATACAGTGTGTCGCCTCCCAGAGCGCTTGGTTATGGTCTTCCTCGAACGGGTTGTATAGCGTGACTAGCTTAAAGAACCAGCCTACCGACTGAAACGATAGGGGCGGAAGATTAATCTTGGCAGCTACTCACGGCTTCGCAGCCAGCAGATTCTGTACCCTGGGAGGACTGATCAACGAATAATTCATTTGAAGGGACGATCTACGTTCCCGTATGTTGGACCAAACCACCCCCAAGACAAATCCAGATGGTCGACCAAGTCGTTGGGCACCATGGTGGCAACGCACCAAGAGTTGACCAGGTCTACCGACAGGGGCCACTTCTGCTGCAATGAAGACCTTCGGCTGCATGTTCCCGTGAATGATGAGTTCCTTGAGAAGCAATCATGGGTCGTTCGGGGTGGAAGAGTCATCGGCCGCAGCTGCAGGGGAAGATCCCTTCCCGGATACCGACTCGCACCCCGAGTCGGAGGACCTATACATTGCCTAATTCATATGAGATTCGGTTTTGAATCTGGCTTCACAGAAAAGACGGCTGGGGTCGAAACGACCGCAGAACTTTTGGCTGCAGGAAGACGAACAGATGACCGAGATTCGCAAGAATTGTCCGGACACTTCGCTGTCATCACTTAGATCATATTCGAAGGAGTCTAGTGTGGTGGAGTGGGTTTCTCAAAATTGTGTGATGAGAGCCCAAAACACTCACTGTGCCGGATTGCCGATTGTCGGATAGTGTACCCCGATACCGCGTATGGACCTTTTCTCACCTTGGGTACCCGTTGGATGACGGGTTGCACTCTTAAAAAGACTTGGTGAGGATATGGACTTCTGCCTTTGAAGAGGTAGACCTGGGAGGTCTCGAGTGGGTATACTTCACTCGATAGGCCGGTAGGTTGCCACTCGGCCGACCTTGTCGAGAGTGGACTTAGAGCCAAATTCTTCTGGGACCTTCTCTCTGGCCTTTTCCTTGGTTGTCTTTTAGGTATTGACCTTCTGGCCTTTCTTTGCTCCTAGACCGTGAGGTGAGGGAGACCGCTTCCAATAGCGGGTCTTGGGGGGTTTGCTACTCAAACGAGCTCGCAGAAAAAATATATCCTGGAGCTCTATTCGCACTTGAACTTCGCTACACGACTGTCTTCGACGGGAGGCCAAATATATCCCCACCGGAACAGGTGAATAGCTTAAAACAGGTTTCTTAGGGACGTTGAAGGCGTGCCACGTAGATCGAAAATTGAGTAGTAATATAATATAGTCCTATCCTTTAAACTCCTTTGCTCTATCCTTGCCTACAGCTCTGACTCCTTAGGTTAATTGATTCTGATTCCCTGTGTTGAATTGGTTAGGAGTGGCTGAACCTTGAGGGACCCAGGTCAAACAATGAGAAACCCAGGTCTACCGATGAGGGACCGGGTCGACCGATGAGGGACCGGGTTGACCGATTAGAGACCGGTTCTACCAATGAGGGACCCATGTCTTCCAATGAGAAACCCAGGTCGACCGATGAGGGACCGAGGTCTACCAATACTGGACCGGGCCTTTCAAAGGGAACCATGACCGACTCTTTTCGGTACCGGTGAAACGGTACCCTGGTAACGATTTATTCTTTGTGGATCCTGCAAATTGTTCTTCGCCAACGGTCGCTTCCCCTCGAGGCCCCTGTCTCTCTGGTCTCGTCTCCCTGAGACACGATCTCTTAAACCCCGAATTCAACTGGCCTCTGGGGTCTCCATATTTCAACAAGCACATCACCACAACCTCTCTTTGAACTTCAGCATTACAGCGGTTTAAGCACGCGCATGTCTTCCCCTCTTCAGTCAAGTAGGTCCTTCAATTTGGCTTTTTATTGATAGTCCGCATCTAATCTGTGTCGTTTCAGCAATGTCTTCACCCGGTTCAGGCACACCGCCTGAACTACCAGCCTCGGTCGTCCCCGCACCTCCGATTGACCCTCCGTCCGAATACTCGTCCTTGTTCGACCTCTTGGTGCCAGTATTATTACCCTTGAGTTCCACCGATACTGCTCGCGTAGATGACCCGCCTGTGTCCACGGATTTTCCTCCCACTGAGTCGGCCAATACTTCTGCCATATTGGTCTTCACTGCCAACAATCCTTCCCCCGCGCTGGTAGACCTTGCTAAAGCGCGCGAAGCTCTACATGAGCTGAAGTTAAACGTGGGCGCACAAATTCGCCGCGTAGAAGACTGCGGGGGTAAACTAGCTGCATTTTCCTTTTTTGCCGCCTTATTGGCTGCCCGGTGTGAGCGCCTGGAGGAGGAGTTACGCGACAGTTCTTGGCGGGTTGTTAAACACCGCGAGTCTCTTAAAAGCGAAAAGGCGTTGGTGGACCGCCTACGATGGAAGATTGACTACAGTCGAAGTTATTATGGCAGAGCTCGACCACACTAACTTCTCAGGTGGTCCGCCTCCTCGCGCTTGGTCCTTAGAGATTCACAGGCAGTGGGCCGCCTCCCAGAGCGCTTGGTTATGCTCTTCGTCAAAC